TTAGCCTTTCCATAACTTTGATCATGCGAGCCATGTCATGATGTCAGTGTCCAAGCTCCTCTCCCGCATTGTTGCCCACTCTTCAGATCGAATTGATACATGCAAATGTGTGGCCTCCAGCCTCCATGACCATACTTATGGCATAACTTCGGATCCTCTTACCCAGTTTGCCTGTATCCTATCTGCATTGATTCATGATGCCGATCATGTTGGTGTGCCCAATACTCAACTTGTGAAGGAAGAGACCGAAACAGCCAAGCGATACAAGGGCAAGAGTGTAGCTGAGCAGAACTCTGTTGTACTGTCGTGGGAGATGCTCTTGCGTCCTGAGTATTGTGACCTGAGGGGTGCCATCGCTGCAACAGATGCTGAGTGGACACGCCTCAAACAGCTTGTTGTCAATTCTGTGATGGCTACTGACATCATGGACAAGGACCTGAAGGGGTTGCGCAATGTTAGATGGGAGAAGGCATTCTCAGAACAGGATCCAAGCGAGGATGCACATGTGACCACCAACCGCAAGGCCACAATTGTTGTGAGTTTGAACTGCTTGTGGCTCTGGCCTGGATCTGCCTAGTATGCAGTATCTCATCCTGTGTTTCCTTTGTGACCTCTGTAATTCCACAGATTGAGCACCTGATTCAGGCTTCCGATGTGGCTCACACAATGCAACACTGGCATGTGTACAGGGTAGGTCCACACTGTATGTGCTCCTTCAATGAATGGTCTTTGCCATAACTAAACTTTGCTATCATTCGACCCCCTCAATTATAGAAATGGAACCAGAGGCTATTTGAGGAGATGTACAAGGCCTACAAGGAGGGCCGTTCTGAGAAGGACCCTTCTGAATTCTGGTATAAGGGAGAGACTGGTTTCTTTGACTTCTACATCATCCCACTGGCAAAGAAGTTAAAGGACTGTGGTGTTTTTGGGGTTGCCTCTGATGAGTACCTGACCTATGCCATTCAGAATCGGAGGGAATGGGAAGAGCGTGGGGAAGCAGTTGTCGATGAGATGATTGAAAAAGTGAAGGCAGTTTGGGAGGAAGAGGCCGAGACCACAGACACCTTTGTTGATGAAGCCAGCGTTTCACTTTGAATGACTAGAGGTGAAGCAGGGTGTTTCCAATTTTTGGCCGATACATCATTTCTTTAAGTTTCTAAAGCTGAAACTTCCTACTGGTCCACCCAAAGCAGACATCAGTGACATGGCAGTTGGGGAGTCTCCCTTTATCCCGGCACGGTGGGTAGGGCAAATTGATTTGCACGCACTAGTAGCACATTATGTATGCTATTACTGATGTGCCATTCCAACAATTTGCTGAGAGTGAAGCCTCGTGCGTTGCGATGTGATGTGAGAAGTAGGAGGGGAAGGCTCATGTCTGCAGCAACAGCAGCAATGTACGTACCCCGTGAGCGACTGTTGTCACTCAGTAGTCACATTTTGCTATCGTACTATGATTCGATTTAGCTATCATCACTTTAGTCCATGAAATTGTTCACCGCGTCAGTTCCTGCGCAGAAAGAGCAACTGTGGTAGTCCTTCGTTGGTTCCCTCTGAGCCGGAGTGTCGCCAACGTAGTCCCTACTCCCGCTAATGGAACGCCGCAAATCTCACATGACCGCCATAGCTACCAAGCGAGCGAACTTACAAACAGCTGTTTCATTCAAACACGGCACATACGCACATGACGAAGCCCAAGCCAATCACCCACTTCGTGGACTCGAATGTGGCCATGATTAAATAATGTTCTCAATAGACCCCCCACATGGCGCCGAGTTTGCGGAAGCCACGACTCTATCAATTCCTAGGATGCCACGAGATACATCGAGACAGCCATCGAGTAGTCGATGCATCTCCCACGCGCGATTCTGCTATCATTCGTTCCGTTGTTGCTCCAGTCGAGGCCTCGTAGTAGACGTCGTTGTCGGTCGTGGGCCCCACCATAGGCTCTATTCAATACACCAGTACTCTCGAGCACTTGTTCGGTCGTGATACCACTGGGTCCTTCCGATGTAGATGTATACGGAGGCTTCCGGTATGCAATGGGCGTCGATGACAATGACACTTTCGGAAGGATCGAGAACCAGGCAATGTTGGAGATCACAACACCATGCATGGATTGAGATTACCTCAGATCGTGTTCCATTTGAATTCTGGTGTTGGAGTTGGAGCTGTCCGCGCGGCACCTCTCGCCTTGCAGCTGCCAATGATCGTAATCGTGACGGGAATTGCAAGCCGTGGCAAGAGAAGCCAAAGTTGGGACTGCAAGCGACACGAAAAGCATCTTCCTCCTGAACCTGCGACGAACTACTAAACTCTGTTAGTGGAATTGATCATCGACCAATTCGATCAGCAAACATCGTTGCTTTGTCATTGCATCCATGCCGTGTTCAAGGGTCGCGACAAAAGCGATGCGATTCATCATTCGTCCGGGCCAAGGCTTGAGCCCTGAAGACAAGGTACCGGTATGAGTGTTGAGCTAGTTGATCCGTCCGCCGAATGTCGAGAAGGACGCCATCCAAAATTCACAAAAGACCAGCTGACAACGGAAGTGCCATTGTGAGCGTTACCGGTACGGCGGTACCCGTAAAAGTACTGGTACCAGGTACCAAGTATCAGCACCAAGGCCAGAAGGCGCCTCGGAGGTCGGGTGCACCTCGACCACGCTATACTCGTGACTTACTTTATCGATGGAGAAACTGTGCTTCCTAGAAATCCAAAGCAGCCGACCATGACGCACCAACCAAATCCAATCCACCGACAACAACTACTAGACTACTCTAGCTAGTACAACCGCAGAGACGCAGAGCTGTGCTTGTTTGTTGTTCTATTGTTACTTCCTGTTGAGTTAACAACACTGCCATCAAGATGAGTGGCATGGGTGTTCGAATGGTGACAGCTGTCGCGAGTGCGATTCGCGGAGTTGGCAAGAGTTTGGACAAGGCGGGAGCCAACATGGAAGTGGCCAAGTACTCGGAAAAGCTGGTTCCCTCAACGCGGTTTGTGGCGGTCGATGGGGTGGCTCCTCGCGTTGCTGAGTATGGTACCTTTGTGGCTCCATCTGCCTCGGTGATTGGAGATGTCACGATTGGTCGCAACTCGTCCATTTGGTATGGCAGCACCGTGCGTGGTGATGTCAATACCGTTTCCATTGGAGAACGTACGGCCATCATGGACCGTGCCGTCATTCATGTGGCCAAAATTCAAGGAGACAGTCCCACGAACATTGGAAACAATGTGACAGTAGGTGCCGGTGCTCTCATTCATGCGGCCACGGTGAAGGATTTGTGTGTTATTGGAGAATCTGCTCAAGTATTGGATGGTGCGTTAGTGGAATCCAATTCGATTGTCGATGTTGGTGCCGTTGTCACACCCGGAACGGTGGTTCCAGGAGGAGAATTGTGGGCTGGTGCTCCTGCCAAGAAGGTTCGAGAATTGACAGCAGAAGAAATTGCCAGTATTCCTCAAAAGGCCAGGGATGCCCTCGAGTTGGCATCGATGCATGCCGTTGAGAATTCCAAGGATTATGCTCAAGTCCAAGAGGAAGAAGATTGGATCGACTTCTTAGAGGATACCCAAGAAGATGATCCTCATCGAACACCACCACCTGGCGATATCGATGATATTCAAGGAATGGGTCATCCGGGACGCATCTTTAATTCTACGTTGACTCATCCAGAAGAAGGAATCAAAAAGTAAAAAAGGCAAGTGGATGGAACGGATCATTGTTACGGGTTGCTTCCTGTCGATCTGTGATACTAGTATAATTAAATTTTAGCTAGTGAATGGTGTAAAGTGCGTGTTGATTCGGTTGGTGATGTAGCGATGCTGAATCGGGCCAATAGGCAAGCTAAGTCCAACCATTCCCTTTGGTCCGTTCATCATCAAAAAAATTGGCTTTCACCTTCCAGTTGTTTCCTGCCTCAATCCACTCCAAATCAGTAAGGTAGGCCCACCGACTGCGTGCTTTCTTCTCTGACTCTCGAATCACAAAGGGTACTTTCTTGTTGACTGAAGAAATCACTGAGGTACCCAGAGCTTTGAAAAGGTGCTGCAGTTCATTGTCATCGCAATACATTTGGATGTATGTCCATGAGTACCATTCAGCTGGAAGTCTAGGAACATCAAATGCTTTCTTTGGTTCCTGCCAGGGCCTGTTGGAAAGGTCGCTGACTGGTGCAATAACGTCTTCTTCCAAGGAGTACTGGCCGATGGCGATAGGTATGTCGGTTGCTCCATTTTTTGATCGAACCAACCACACTTCTCCACAGGCGGTCTGCTGCCAGCCCACAATCAGAAGGGCATGGTTTGAGCCCACCAGCCCATTCTGAAAGTCAGTTGCATGGGCACTGGCTTCAAAGAAGGGCTGTGAGTAACAGAAGGATGTTGAAACTACAGGCCCACGAGCCATAATTTCTTCCTTGATTTCATTGACAGAACCAAGAGGTTTGGAACCACCAAAGTCTTCAAACAGTTCCTTTGCTGTCTTTGCAGAAGCTTCCACAACATGATGATAGTTGTAGGTCACCTCTGTGGTCTTGCCATGCGCAATGGTACCACGGCAGTTGATGCACTTGTAGGCCATGGTCAACTCAAGTTCCTGTCCACTCACTCTGCAATCCCAGAATACATGTGGAGGCCCATTGATGCCAAGGGCATGGCTGGCCAAGAAAGCCCATTTGCCGTTGACATGGAAATAGGAAGGCAGATTCATGTTCGTGTGCTGTTTCTTGCGTCTGGTGCGCTGCTTATGAAGACCTGTACCAGTGCACTGGTCAAAAAAGGTCTGTACATCCTGGAACCTCTTGGTAGCATGTTGTTTATCGTCATTATTCTTGTCTGGGTGGATGAGGAGTTTCAGCTGCCGAAAGGTACTTGCACGCTTTCTCTCATTGCAGAAACCTTCTTTATCCAAGGAAGGGTCCACAATCTGAAGGAGCCAAAAAAGAGCATCACGGCTTGGTTCCTCCTGCAAGGCTTTGTCCACTTGTTGGAGAATGATTCGTCCAAAGCGAGCCTCCATGATTACAGAAATAAATTGTGTCGCTTGCTTGTACTATTGTGGCAGCACTCACAAAAGAAATGAATGAAAGGATACATTTCGCGCAAGGATCGCTCTCATGGCAAGCGTGGAAACGCGAGGTCGTGGGCAATCATTTCGCACTTGGACTTCGCAAGGTCCCGAAACGGATCGAACGATAGGTACGGGCATGGGCAGACGTTTGTAAACGTGACCGATTTTCAAAACCAATCTTTTAGTTTACCGTTTTGGCTTAGTTTCTTGCGGTTTTTGGCTCGTTTCAAGGACTGATTGAATCCTACCTCTCCCGTCTCCCACTTGATTCCAATATTCCTTTGCTTGCTGGGCTTCAAAGTCTATCCTGTACCCTTTTCTCCAACACCTTTGTCAAAACGTTGCCTGTCACCTCCGCGTTACGGTACCTGGTACCGGTATGGTAGCATCAACATGATACTAGTATTAGTTTCTTGACGGTTTTGGCTCGTTTCACGGAATGGTGATTGAATCTACGGTATCATACCCCTCTCCTAGACTACTAGACTACTTGATCCCAATAATCCTTAGCTTGTGGCGGGCAACACCTGTCAAAACGTTGCCTACCGTCACACCACTTTTGCCTCCGCGTTTCAATGAGTGTTGTCCTTGGCGTCTCAACAAGCTACCGAATGGTTCTGCTGGCTTTAATCTAAATCTTTCGCTCGAATGAATCGAATCGAATCAATCGAATCAATCCTCGCTCTCCAACCACCAGATGTGTGGCGAAGCCTTCCGACCACAAACCGAAAATCCCCTTGGAAGCATTGGTCTCTTTCTTCCTCTGCTGTACCTATCTATCTTATCACCACCTAAGGTACTTTCAAGATGATGCAAATGGGTCCCGGTGGTCCTCCCGTCATGGTGCTCAGTAAGTTCTCTCGCTAGAAGTGTGGCTGCTGGCCAAAGGTTGCCTCGTTGGCGCTTGGCTGTTGTTAGTAACAAGCCATTTCATTCTTGTCTTTTTCTCACTTCACTATCATTGTCATCATTATCATTTAGACGCCAAGACACAACGTCAAACTGGCCGTGCGGCGCAATTGGGAAATATCGCAGCCGCTCGTGCCGTGGCCAATATTATCCGCACAACGTTGGGGCCTCGTTCGATGCTGAAAATGCTCTTGGATCCCATGGGCGGCATTGTCTTGACCAATGACGGACATTGCATTTTGCGCGAAGTCGATGTCAGTCATCCCACGGCCAAATCAATGATTGAATTGTCGCGGGCACAAGACGAAGAAGTGGGTGATGGCACCACTTCCGTCATTGTACTGGCCGCCCAAATGCTCCATGGCGCCGAACAATTTTTGCGACAGGAGCATACATATCATCCGACTGTACTCGTGCAGGCATACACCAAGGCACTCATGGATGCGTTGGAAATTTGTGAACAACACGCGATCGAAATTGATATTTTTTCCGATACCAAAAATCATCAGGACCTGCTCAAGAAATTGATCGAATCGTCGATTGGGACGAAATTCAGTGCGAGGTGGAATGATAAAATGGTCGAAATGGCACTGGCGGCTGTCTTGACCGTCGCCACGCAGCACGCGCCCTCTCTGGCACTCTCCACGGCGGAGGAAACTAAGTCTTCCACTGTGAAGGACAAGGACTGGGAAGCGACGCCTCCCCCCGCCTCTGCAATCTACGAAGTCGATTTGAAACGCTACGCCAAGGTCGAAAAGATTCCCGGCGGAGAAATTGATGACTGTACCGTCCTCAAGGGCGTCATGTTCCAAAAAGACACGGTCCATTCCAAAATGAGACGTCGTATTGAAAATCCTCGCATTCTCCTTTTGGATTCCCCCCTCGAATACAAAAAGGGAGAATCCCAAACCCAAATGGATATTAGTGGAGAAGACGACTGGAATACTCTGTTGAAAATGGAAGAGGAGTACGTCGAAAACATGTGTATGGAAATCATTGCGCACAAACCAGATATTGTCATATCCGAAAAGGGTGTTTCGGATCTGGCGCAACATTATCTCGCCAAAGCCAATATTACGGCATTTCGCCGTCTCCGCAAAACGGACAACAATCGCATTGCCAAGGCCGTGGGAGCGACAATTGTCTCGAGAGCGGATGAAATTACCGAACGCGACATTGGCACCCATTGTGGATTGTTTGAAATGCGCAAAATTGGTGACGATTGGTTTTGTTTCTTGGAAGAGTGTCAAGACCCCAAGGCATGTACGATTATCCTGCGAGGTGGTTCCAAAGACGTGCTGAATGAAATCGAACGCAATCTACACGATGCCATGCAAGTCGTTCGGAACGTCGTCTACAACCCCAAGTTGGTCTACGGTGGTGGTGCCATTGAAATGGCCATTGCCGTGGGATTGCGACGACAGGGACAAACGGTAGAAGGAATTCAGCAGGATCCCTACAAGGCGGTAGGAGAAGCCATGGAGATTATTCCACAAACGCTGGCACAGAATTGTGGGGTCAGTGTGATTCGGACCATTACCCAATTGAGAGCCAAGCATGCCGAAGCATATGACAAAAATAATAACAGTTCGGACAAGTTTGAGCCATGTTCGTGGGGAATCAACGGTGTGACTGGAGAGTTGGTGGATATGAAAGAGTATGGCATTTGGGAACCACTCAGTGTCAAGGTACAGACCATCAAGACCGCCATTGAGAGTGCTTGCATGATCTTGTACGTAGCCGAGTGTACAGTGGGGTTGTTGCCTCCTGTGTCATTGGTGTTTGATTGTTTTCTCACCTCTTCATTCGATTATTATTTTTGCTTGCAGGCGTATCGATGACATCGTTTCTGGCTCCAAAAAGAAGGCTTGAGGTGGTTGCAAGGAAGAAGCGAGGAGGATGATGTAGCCAATGGAGAATGTACACAGCCACCCCTACCGCACTAGAACTTTGCCAGCGCATTCCTTAGGAAAAATATTAAATGGAAATAGAACTAGTTTTGGTTTGCTAGCTACTGGTCTAGGTGCTGGTAGTTCGTTAATATCTCAATGGCATTGCGCTGGACTATTTTGGAGTTACTCTACGTAGTAGCTTACCGTTTGGTGGTTAGAAGTACACGACGTAGGGAGAAAGCCTCGGAAGGAAAATGCTCTTTTTGGGTCAAAAATTGTCGGATTTACTCGCTTCGGTAGTGGACAAACAGGCCGAGCTAGCGAATGATTGAATCGAATCCCAGACAGCGTAGTCGACTTCCTCCGCACAGTACGGTATCATCTCTAATACTGTTTCTATATATTCTCAATCCGATTGATTGTCATGGTGACTATGCGATCGCTAGCTAGATAGTTAGGTGCCATCATCATCTTCCTCACCTTGGGCATCATCGCTGGACTGCTGCTGGGTTTGCCGAACGGCTGCTTCGATAGCATCTGCACTAAAGAACCCTGCAAAATCTGCGTGTCGGGCATCACGATTATTGTCGCCATTGGGAAAGGCGCAGAACTCACACATAATTGTATACTACTTTGGTGGAGGAAACACGAGAGGAGAGTTGGTTGGTGTGGAGGTGCTGTTGGAAGAGGAACCGATGCTTGTGGGTGTGGCTTTTGGGACGGTAGATAAATCTCAACACGGTACCGAATGGTCCTGCTGGCTTCAAACCATATCTTTTTCGCACCTCACATCCGTCCTCAAACTCTCACTTTTTACGGGAGATAGACTATTCTTATCACAGCAAGCCAGCAAGATGACAGAAGAGACATGCAGTAGCAGTGCTGATGAGTTGTTATTACTACCACCTAAAAGTTCGTCCCGTCCTCTTCGAATCGGTGTGTTTGGTGGATCGTTCAATCCCATTCATTTGGGACATGCGTTGTTGGCCATTACGACGCAGCAGACCAAGCCGGTCGATCAAGTGGTACTGGTGCCTGTGTACAAGCATGCTGTGAAGCGCGACTTGTTGCCATTTGACGATCGAGTGCAAATGTGTCAATTGGCAGTGGCGCCGTTTTCCAGTGACAATCGGATCGTGGTGAGTCGAGTGGAAGAACGGGTGGGAGCTTCGAATGGGGTCATGTTGAAGGGTCTCAAGGACGAGTATCCGACGGGGACCCAATTCCTGTACATTTGCGGAGATGACTTTTTCCGGTGGATGGAAAAACCAAAGGGATTGGAAACACTGGAACAAGTCGATGGACTCATTGTACAACGGCGACTTCACAAACACGACAATAACGACCGATTCTTCAAGGAGCCCTTTGACGAACAACGAGTCCGTGCTGTGGCCGCTCGATTGAATTTGACCATTGATTTCATTTATGGAGAATTGCCCCACTTTTCATCGACTCTGGTACGAAGAGCTCCGGGACATTGGAGATCCTTTCTACCACAAACAGTAGCCACGTACCTGGAACAACGACCGCATCTTCTAGAGATTTTGATTCACAACCTAGAGGTAGATTCCGAAAAGGAAATGCAGCAGTCGCAGTCGACCAATAACAATGAAAAACAACACGAATCTTCACCCAGTCATTCTTCCACGAGCACCGATGGTGCTGAAACCAGCATCCAAAAAATCAACAATCAAACCACGACAGCAGCCGAATGGGTCATTCGAGGACTCAACATGGTCCATGCACTGCAATTGGAACGTGGGAGATCCGGACTTTTGTTGTCATTGGGCACATCGCAGGCGGCGCAAGACTTAAATGGCGTCCAAACAAAGACGGATGATATCATTCAGCAAGTTCTACAAGATACTACTCTTACTGCGCTAAAAGATACTGCTGGATCCTTCCAGGAAGAAGTCATGGGGTTGGCATTGGAACTTCAGCAAGTACCCGTTTGGTTGAAACGAGATCGATCCGTATTGAAACAGCGATGCGGCTCTCTCGTCCATCGAAAGGGAATTGAGGGATGGTTGGCACGAGCTGCATTGGTCGAAAAATTCAATCCCCGCATTGATGTCCTACGGTTAAGTCTGCTTCGGGCATTGACCGAAATTCGAAACCACAACAACAACAATAGCGATCAAGACAATACTGACGATCGTGACTTGATGCCGGAACTACTTTGGAAATGGAGTCAAGCCAAGGAGGCACTGGGGCGACAACGAGCCTTTGTATGTGCCGGGGGGCCCAATGCACCCTTTATGATTGTCCAATCCATGGAAATGCGACAGCGACTCAACGAATGTATTCAAGAAAAGGATCGAAGTATTGCCAGAGTCCTGTCGCTGGTCAATGAGCAACAACAGCAATCCACGCCCGATGCCCTACATCGGCTCCTGGAAAATGTCACTTGGTGGGAATGGAAGTTGATGCGATCCTTCGCACCCAGTACTCCACTCTCCTTGGTACACAAGTTATTGTCCAAAACCATTATTCCTACGGACAGCAGCAGCCATCCACAAGAGCAATTTCACGTGGAAAAATTCTTTGATGCCTCGACCACTGCCATTGACTTTTTGCTGACGTTCACCAAAGCTTTGGCTGCTTCCGCGTGTGCAGGTTAGACTAGCTAAGCCTGCTTTTGGCTTAGTCAAGTCAAATGCATGGCAGCACTGAGAAGTATCATAAGGGTTTCCAGTTTCTTGCTACTATCAGCTAGATAGATTGGTTCCGATCCTTGGAAAGGATCAAATAAATAATTTGAAGTTCGCAAATCTATCTTAAATACAAGGTAGGAGTGCATTTTCCCCGCAACGATCCACGTCTGAGCCTGAGCAACGAATGAGCAATGACAAAAGGAGTGCAGCGACAAGAGAGGCAGCGACAAGAGGAGCTGCAGCACCCTCCTCCGCTTGCCCATCCATTCTTGTAGGGTTGTAGAAGAGCACCTTGGCCAAAGAGGAATAGTTACTTGGGCCCGCCATGAAGGCATGGATATCAAAGAGAACCAGCGGCACCCCCCTGTATCGTCGTACGGGTGGCCCTCCGCCGGGGAAAGCAAAGAATCTTATTGACTTCAAAGTGATGAGCTTGACAGGAGAAGATACAATCAACCTGTATGGTGTTGTGCGCAGCGACACCGTATCCGTTGTCAAGAGAAAAATGCAAGACAAGCGTGGTGTAGACAACTTACCCGCAAAAGAACAACGCATCTTTTTCAAAGGAAAGCTGCTGAAAGATAGACGCACTCTCGAGCACTATGACGTAGAGAAGCACGATACTCTGTGGGTGGGTCTCTTCAGTTCCGGCACTGCCAAGAAGGAATTTTTTGTCAAGTTGCCCCAAGGGAACATTGCTATCGACAACTTTAGATTTCGGGACATGGTCAGGGGTGTCAAAAGAACAATTCAAGATATGCAAGGGATTTCTCCTGACCAACAGCTACTATTTTTTGGAGGGAAGCAGATGGATGAGGATAAGACTTTGAAAGAACACGGTGTAGAGAGACAGAACACCATTCACTTGATCCTCCGTCAGCATGTGGAAGCTGTGTCTTGGAGAGGACTTCGCTCCCTTGATGATATTTATGGTGATTTCTACGAGGGGTGGTATGACTGCGCTGCAAAGCCTTTGCGCATGTCGTCATCGGACACAATTCATATCTCTCTGTTGACAGCATGGCCTCTCGTGGCGCCTTCGGGGGTGCGTGTTTTCTCTGATGGCAACATTGTGGATTTGAAAATTGAAATCAAGAGAAATTCGGGTATCCCAGTTGATCTCATGGACCTCTATAAAGATTGGGGCAAGGACCAGCTACAGCCCCTAGCAGACGAGAAGTCCTTGGCTGACTGCGGCCTCTCTGACGAGTCCACCGTTTGCCTTGCTACGCGGTCGCCCCAGCTGGTTGTGAGGAAAGGCGAGGAACGGATATTGCTGGATGTGCCACGAGACGTTGCAACCATTAAGTTGTTGAAGGACATGATCACGGAGAAAACTGGCGTGCCGTCCCAGCACCAGCAGCTCTTCTTCGCCGGCTACCTATTGGAAGACTGGCGCAAAGTGTCACATTATGGCATTCCATGGCACTCTGAAATTGTGCTCAAGGAGAACATGATTGATTCCTTGTGGACATCATGGGAGAAAAGACAATACCTCTCTCTGACTCCGCTGGCGACACAATCACACACGTCAAGAAAATGATTGAAAAGTTGGAAAGCATTGAGGCCCACATCCAGCTTCTTGCCTTCAAAGAAAAGCCATTTCGGGATGGCCTGCGCTTGGCCAGCTACAGAGTTGGAAGGAATGACACTATCGTCCTCTGGATGCGAGATTTTGAGCTCACTGTCAGACAGGGTGGCTACAGAGACACGATCCTCTGGGTAAATCCTTCGGACACAATCAGGGACTTGAAACAAAAGTTAGAGAAAAAGATTGGCCCATTGTTTCAGCAGCAACTGTTTTCTGGGCGCTTTGGGGTTGAGTTCATGGATTCCAGGACATTGTTCAGCTGCAACGTTCACAATCGGCCAGTGGTAGAACTTCGAGCTAGACGAGTCGGAACAAGCACCATATCTGTGGTGATCATGTCGGAGTTTACGGTGACTCTTCCCATCTGCGCAAGTGATACCGTTAGAAGTGTGAAGGCCAAGATTGAAGAGTTGGAGAATGTCAAATCAGCAAGCCAACGTCTTGTATTCAATGGCGAGGAGCTGGTCGATGACAGGGAGTTGTCTGAGTACGGAATCCGGAACGGCGATACTATTCAGCTCAACATGCTGGATTTTCAGCTTACTATGGTTTGTGATCGATCGGTTGACGCTATCCTAGATGTCAACCCTGGTGATTTGGTCGTGTCCGTGAAACAGAAGATGGAGGCTGGGCTAGGTGTGCCTGTTGATCAACAGCGACTGTTGTCCCTCAACGGCATGGAGTTCAAGGACGACAGAACCCTATTCAGTTGCAACATTCACAATCAGCAGAAAATAGAGATGCGCGCCGTTCAGTGGGAAACCTTCGCATGTGCCTGCTGAATTGCGTCCTGAACCTGGTGTCGATTGGATTGCCCTTGGCGGAAGCACAAGCACTGTTTTACAGTGGACCTGCCTGCCAGCTGCATTCTCAGCGGTCGCATCAACCGTCCCTCTGCCTAGATGGGCTTGCGCCGTCGAGAATGTCAAAACAGCTACAAAGGACTTGCTATACCATCAATACGATAACTATTAATATAAGCATTTTGATCATTCATTTTCAGAAAGAGTTTTGATGGTCACCAGGTTCTGAAGTACGGTAAGTACCCGTAGGTCATCAACAGACACAAACACATCCAAAAGTCACCTCTGCAAACCTCTACTCAGCTTTGTTCTTCTCGGGGGCCTTCTCTGTGGTCTTTCTCTTTTTGAAAGCTCCTTGCTCAGTCTCAGTACCGGTATCATCTTTCTCCGTTCCCGAAGAAGAAAGCACTTCCAGGGCCTGGACACTACCTCTTTTTCCCGCCAAGTCCACTTCCAACTGCTTGGCTTGCAGTTGGGTCGGTGCCAGCAACTGCTGTGCCACTTCTTGGACCAGTTGTGCTGGGAATGCATTTAGCTGGTGACGATAATAGGCGGCATATTGGTTTTTGGCATCTTCATTATTCCCACTGTATTGATTCTTTTGGAGGCGTTCCAAAATGATCTTGTGTCGGTAGTCTTTGCCATTGGCCAGACCAGTTTCGATGACTTGTTGGAGACTGTACACGACGGTTCGTCCTTGTTTGGTGCCTTGCAACTGTTCCAAATCATTGTCGGTGGCTCTCCAGATTTTCTTGGCGACACTTTTGGAAACGTTGACACCATCCTGTAGGTGATGGAGGGACGAATCCGGGGCATTAATGGTGAGAATGATTTGTAGAATGGACTGAATCTGTTTCCTTTGCTTGTCTCGTGTCTTTTGCTCTTGTTGCTGTTTCAAATAGTCTTGATACCCTTCTTCTCCCAGTTCCTCTAGTAGTTTGTCCTTTTGGGCTTGTTGTTCTTCTTTTCGAAGCTGCACTTTTAGTTTTTGAATCTCCTTTTCGACCACCACCCCGTGACTATTGCCAAAAGCGCGACGCCACTGAATGGTAATCCCAGCATAGTAGATCTCTTCTTCCGTGACACCGTATATGGCACATGCCTTTTTGAGCGAAAGGGTGGCCATGGTTGTTGTTGTTGTTGGACGATAACACTATACTGATTGAGTATTTGTGATGAAAGCAGACTATGTTGAATGGAGAACGAAAGCAATGACAGCCGCGATGATTTTGAGGAGGGAGATCTTCGCGCCTTCTTTTGGAGCCGTTGATTCAGCCGTTTCCGGAGGTCGCCACACAACCGCTCTGCCGGATTAGAGATGGATCTAACAGCAACACACCACAAAAGAACCAACCCTTGATTCGATTCTCATTCGGATGAGACCTTAGCATGGGCGACAACAACAACGACGACGATGATGATGAGAATGATGACACTACCAATACTCTTGGTAGAAACCGGAACCAAGTAGTAGTCGATCACGACTTTGAAGCCTTTCGTCGTTTATGCGATCGTTTACAAGAGAACGAGGAAGGTTTGACCAAGATTCTGGCCATTCTCCATCAAACATTGCGACGTGCCGATTTTTCGCTATTTGTGGAACGCCTCGTCACCAACTCGACGTTGCAAGTCTTGTCGATTGGATTGGGAACCGTCTTGACGCACGCGCAAATGGAAGCACTCGGGCGAGTCTTTGTGAACAACACTCACATTCGCAATTTTCGACTCATCAACGTGGCCACCGAGGAAATGGATCTGCGACCGCTTTGGGACGGACTCTTTCAATCCAAGGCACTCGATAATGTCTGTCTAGATGGATTTCAGACACGACAAAATGCTATTGAAACCTTCTTGACGAGATGGAATGACAGTGCTCAACAACTACAACAGCAACCACAGCAATCGACTAGTACATCTAGTGCTTGTTGTCCCCAAATTGTCAATCTACACATATCCGATTGTTTTCTGGGAACGGCCGAAACGGACGCCATTGTACGAATGCTGCAACGAAACGACATGAACAATTTCGTATTTCGCATCACCAAGTGTCAATTTACTACTGCCAATACTACTTCGCATACTACTACAAACAACAATTCTACATGTAATTCAAGACAACGCATTGCCGACGCATTAGCCCAGAACACGACGGTCGAAATATTTGCTCTCGACGATGCATTGGACAAGACAAGTGCACAAGCCTTTGGCCGCGCCATTGCCACCAACACCACACTCAATGGCGTCATGTTTGACAATTGCAACGACGACGCTCTGCTAGTGCTAGCCAATGGCATTTGTCAAAATCACAAACTCCTCAATGCATCCGTTCAAGGCAAACAACAACAATCAGGTGCAACAACAGAAACGCAAGCCGAATGCGAACGACTCGTCCAACATGCCATTGGTATGAACAAGGCGGGACGGTGTCTGCTCTACGATTATGCCCGCAAGGAAGGCAAAAATCTCGATGTGGCATGGCTGGTGTGTCTCTTGCGGTCGCTCGAAGAAGATCCTGCCATTCTCTATTCGTGGGTCCGTGATTATGTCGATATCTTTGTCCGATGGGCACTGCGAGGGATGCTGGCAAAGAAACGAAAAGCTACTTGTGACGGTAGTAGTGGAAGACCCAACAAGAGGATCAAGACGAGTTAGTGCCAGTTGAGACAGAAGATGGACTCGACTCGAGTCGACTCATATTGAGGTTGACACAGCTTTTTCTTCGACAGCAAGCACACTGTTTGTGTTGGTGGTACCGTGTCTGCGTATTGCATCTCTAGAGACCTATACTCATAAGACTACCGTATTGTAAAAGTTACATTATCGGTACGACGGAAAGGGTGTTGCTCTACTTGTGTTACACTATTATTTGAGCAATAGATAGCTATGTGCTTCGCCAGGAATGATGCATTGTGCAACAGCACAGGTACTAGTACTGTTGGTTGTACAGCACAGGTACTGTTGGTTATTGGTTAGGAATACCGAAAGACTGCCCTGCCTGCAACATCATCGGACATTCCCGCCCCCGTTTGATTCAAAAACTCTTCCTTGAACACTTCCTTGGTCGCCTTCTTTTGTATTCGAGCCATTTGACGTTCCTTCTTGACTTGGGCTTTGCGAGCAGCTTTCTCTTCCTTGGTCTCCTTCTTGGAACGAGCGACACCACGGTTGACGCTAATAAAAGTCTCATCCACATCGTCATCATCCTCCTCATCGTCGTCTTCCACAGGATTATTATGATTATTCGTATCGTCCAAGACGGGCAATCCCGTTTTACTCGATAGAATAATCTTGTTCTTGTTCTTCTTTTTACTGCGACGACTGCTGACACCAATCACCATGGGATTATTGTCGAGATTGGAATACGTCGATAGAATGGATTCGCAATCCCAGGGATTTCGTTCCTTCATGGAATAGTACGACTTGCCATCAATGAAAATTTCTTCCGGAGGTGGTTCCAATTCTGGTGCCTGAATCTTCTTCTTGGCGTCTCGCAGCATGTCCTGAATGGGTCGAGCGGGTTCGTCTGGCACTGCTTCTGGAGCAGTGTTATTGTCGAGTAGTTGTTGAACGGGAATCATGCGGGTTCCCACCAAGGCGGAAAAGCCACTGCCGCCGGTAGGAGCGGGTTTGGCACTTTGCATGAAAATGTCATCCTCTTGCAAATACTCGTCCAACGCGGCATCGACTTGGGCATCGCCTTCCAGTGGCCGGTCCCCGTGAATATCTTCTTGGTAGATTTCTCCCATGTCATCGGAATCGTATTCCGCCAATGTCTTTTCGAATTGTTCGCAGAGCGCGCGTTCTTCGTCGGGATTCAAGGATGGAACCACTCCTGGAACCACATCCAATGTGGTTCCTCCTCCAAATAAGGAATCGTCTTCTTCTTCTTCCTGTATTGCCTTTCTCGCGGCAAAGAAATCCTGATCTTGGGACATTGGGTGTCCTTCGACGGCGTGCACGACCTCATCGGTGGCTTGTCGTCTGGCATCTTGCATCAATTTGGCAATATGAGCATCAAAATCAAAGGCTTCTTCATCTCCCTGTTCGGGTTCTCGTGCTGCATCCAGAACAAAATCATCGGCAATTTCTTCAAAATCCTCCAAATTATCTCCCATTAACGCCGCTTCAATATCCTCATCGATACAAAAGTCGGCTGCCAACGGGATTCCCTCGAACTGTTGTGTATTGACTTCGGCCACTAATGCCAATTCTTCCTCTTCCTTCATGACAATGGGCTGCGACCGAGGATCGTTCAGTGGATTGCTAATAATAATGGTGCCACCACCGCGGGCACTCAAAAAGGTTCCCGCGCCCGTAATCGGTTTCAAATATTGTTCACTGTTGTTTTCTTCCAATAATCCCACGGCGGCGAGCTTATGCCGCCATTCTTTCATCTTGTCTTGTTCTTCGGCATTTCCAGCAACCAGTACTTTGGCATCGGTATCGGGATGATTGTGGGGATCGGGCCACAGAATCATACCGGTCGATCCCACGGGTACACCATCGTCCAAAATGTCACCGCCCACATCGCGTTGGGACCGATGCATTAGGGTGTAGCGAGACGCATTCTTGCGGTCAATAAATGGCTTTTTCTTCTTGCGGCCCATGGTGATTACTTAATTAATTAATAAGTACTCAGGGAGTAGTATAGAGTTCAATTCTGCTGTTGGAAGAATGAATGAAACAAATGAAAAACGGCGCTGAAGCGGAAAATGATGTGGAGGGAGGAAAGGGAGACAAGAATTTGGGTGGCTCTGAAGGCTTCAGTTTTTGGTCACGAGTAAAACGTGACAGCTACCGTAGTAGGAGAAATCAAATCTTCCGCGAAATCCTTTTGGGGGGGGGCAGATGGCAATGCTTCTGAAGTGATGGCACCAAGAGCCATGGCGAGCAGACCTGCATATGTTGGCTCTCCAAGACGAACCCAGTAGCTAGCTAGAGGTTCTCTAGCTAGAAGCTGTCAAAATATTCCAGCCGTCCCGTATCAATTTCGATTCCATTCCAGTCCATCACCAGAGAGATATCAATCATTGTTCTTTACAACGGCAACGTCAAGCAACAAACGAGCAAACCTGTTGGTCTCAATAATTGAATGATTCGATTCGATCCAGTTGATTGTTACTGAAGCAGGGATCCTTGATTACAGCCTCCATGACCATGGCTCTATTACTTGGACACAGCACGATGATAAAGAAGACCATGGCATTACTTTCGGCTCTTTTGTTTTGGGTAGCACTTCCTTCCACGACCATGGCAGCTTCCACGGTCGACGACAACAGCAACCATTTCTTTGTCGATCCGTGGGACATTTACCATCCTTTGGATGAAGGGCTTTGGCGAGGTAGCAGCAGCAGCACCAATGACCCGAAAGGAGATGTCCTGCAAGAAGAAGATGTTACAATCGATGGTCGATGGGAAGGTCTTCGCAACAATTTACGTCTGGCAGAAATTGACAGCATGCGTCTCTTGTCGAGGCCTCCACTGTCACATCACAATGGCGGCGTCATGAAACCCCTATCCTATTCCATTTTTCAGACCGGCAAATCTGCTCTAAGCAGTTTGGATCCAATCGACAAAAATTTGATACAACCAGGTCGTCTTTTTGGACTGGATTACAAGCACCAACTGACCGGTGCTCACTATCGAGCTTGTGCCGCCCTCCTGTTGCTACGTGGGTACAGTGATGCGGCCCATGAGATTTTGTTGGGAGTGACGCTCGACAACCTGGAAGACGCCGTGTACGCTGCCACTCATCGAGGGCAAACCAACTGGGCGGAACAGCATCCCTTATCCGATGGGGCAGATATTTTGCACGCTGCCATTCATCGCCTCGTAGAAGGGAACGATCTGGGGGAAGGAGATCAAACCGGATACGACAATGCAAGATACTGGTATGCGGGGGGTCCCAAATTGCTGGCTACACCGGCGGGTCATCCAGTCCGAACCGCATTGGCCAGAATTGCACAAGAACATACGCCCCGCTGTCTGAAGGAAGGCAATGTGGTGGCAGGGAGTGCTGGAGCCAAGCATACCGTCTTGTCCGGAGGTGGCAAGACTCGGACCGTATCGATATCCTGTGGTCAGTGGGATGACTTTGCGTTTTTGGAGCTCTGTCAAAAGTGGGACCAAGGTGCTTTCCACAACGATCGAGATATGGAGGACGAAGTGGCAACTTTGCAACGAGCAGAGATTATTTTGCTATTGCGACACGAGCTCTTTCGGTGTCTTCGGGGCAATGGCATGTAGCCGTCGGACGGGATGAACTGAACACAATGAAAAAGCCTTGTCTTTTTCGACGGCTCCAATAGAAATCACTCGATGCGTTCGTGGCCAAATCAAAGAAGCCTCCGTCATACAAGTACGGGAGAAGTGCAGAAGTCAAATCAACCAGTCTTCGACAAACTCGGACGTCCCAATTTATCCAAAGACGGTGACTGCATTGAATACAGCAGTCGCTCCATGGAAACCGATACAAATCCTATACTGATAGGCCAACATTTAGACGTGGCACCGTTTTATTTTCCATTATGGTATGTGTAGCCACCAGTAGCGAACTCTCGGCAGTCTACAGTCCACTACGTTGCTTGGTCTGTGAGTAAGAAGGTGACAAAGGTGATTCTCCAATTTGCTGCGTTTATATGTTTTTATTGTCACTGGGTTTGTCTCTGCTTTGTGTACTGCGATCCTGTGTGATGTTGTGCTTTTGTTAGTAAAATTATCCGTCCCTTACATGAAGGATTGCCCTGGCTTGTGCATTCCATTAAATCTCTTTTGGACAGCATCATTGTATAGTTGTTGAGACGAACCAGCCGAGCTGTTATATAAAAGTGAGTTGAGTCCACCACCATTTTGCTGTTGCTGCAATCGACTTTGTAAGAAGAGTTGTTGATTTTGCTGCTGTTGTTGTTCGAGTGCCAGAGCTTGTGCCTGTGCCTGGACAGCCTTGGCTTGAATTTGAGACTGGACTTGAGCATGGGCTTTGGCTTGTGCTGCTTCTTGTTGCAGATTGGCTACCACTGGCGCTTGCAAAGACATCTCTCTGCCCATCAAATCTTGCAAGCGCCGTCCTTCTTCCTGCCAGGCCCGGAAGGCGAATTGCTGGTACTCGGGGGATTGCTCTTCAATGGCATCCGTGTCAAACCCAGCCAATAACATGCAACGACGATAGAGAGCCAGCGACTCGGTTCGGTATAAGGAGAGTGCCAGCTCCTTTTGACTATCAGTGATGATTCCACTGTCATTCGAGAGCGTCTTCAAATTGGGAGAAGCCGACAAGGCCGTGGCCAGTTGTTCAATCGACAGTCCCACACTCTGAGCCGTCAGGGTCAATGACTCTATTGCCGGTCCATGCTGACCACCACCACCTGACGATGAGGAGTTTAGAGATGATGGCAATCCAACTCCACCACCCCCAGCACCTGGGGCTGGAGATGGACCAAGACCGCCATTCGACGAGGTCAGACCGGGAAAACTGGCAAAGGCATTGGCTCCATGAGCACCAAAGGAGGAACCAGACATGATACCAACAAGTCAATTGAAACAACAACGAAGAAGACCTGAAATCAGGAGGAACTGGTGTACTGTACTGTACAATCAATGGGACTTTTAAAGCTTTGCGATAATTGTGCTTCCGTTCACTGGAATTGAACAATGTCCTTGCAAAGAGCAAAGAGCACAACAGCCAACAGGCCATTGTTGCTGGAACAAAAAGGTCACTTTGCTAGCTAGGTTTTAGGAGAGGGACTGTCGCTGACGCTGCAGCTGATGATGCCCCGCTTCCGGTGGCTGGCTGGCTTCTCGTTCTGGATGCCTGAAAGTCTTACGGTTTGGTGTCCTTCCGTGTGTTCAGTGGACAAACGACATCTTTTAAAAGCTTCATCACTGAGGAGAGCCAGACTGCCGAATTCTATTCGAATTTCTCAATCGATTGAAAGCGCCGACGCATCTCCCCAATCTGGCAATGCCGAGCTTCCCGCGAAAACGGCAATGCCGAAATGAGGATGACAAAGTTTGTTTCGAAGACAGAGCTCTAGAGTGCGTCTCCACTAACGAAGATCCCTTTGTTGACAATGGAAGGTCGGTTTGGACGAATCATTCTCCAACAAGTGGATAGGGTTTTGCTGGAGGAACCTAGCCGGGATGCCCTACTGTCCTTGCTGAAGATAGCAGACCCTGCCTTGGAGAGTGAAGAACTTCCTGATGAAAGAAAACGCAAGAGTGCATTTCGCCAACTGCAACTCTTAATCCATCCTGACAAGCACAATGGTGATGGCCAAGCCACAAAGCGATTCCAGGATGCCAAATCTTTCTTCGACATGTGCATTACAGTGCTTCACAAGCGCAGGTGCACCCAGATTCCCACACCTTCAGTGAATCTGCCTTCTGAATTCCATGTCTGTGAAGAATGGCCCTTCTTGGCCAACGGTGCCCTCGGGCCCATCAGGAATCCAACAGTACCCCCAAATACAGCACTGGATGAAAGAACCCTTGAATTGACTATTGCCTTTAATTGCATAAATTGCCGCGGTGCCATTGCCCATGGAAAGAGAACAGAACTATTCTACAATGATGAAGACGTCACTGAGGCTTCTGTTCAAACGGCAAAGGACCTGTTTGAAGAAGATTTTGATTCTGCCGTGGATCTTGAGTCTATTGATGAAATCAAAGAGGCGATCATGGAACGTGGGCCTGTGGTTTCAACTTCCTTCCGTCTTACTCAGTCTTTCCTCAATGCCGGTGACCATGCACATGAATTTGAGGCAGGGCTTGTCAACTCAAATCACGCCATCTTAATTGTAGGCTGGAAGCAGACTGCCTTTGGAGAAATGTGGTTGGTCCGATCCTACAAGGGGTCACAGGATATTCCAATTGCCATGGGGCAGTTCTCATTGGAAGAGGAGGTGCTAGAACCAGATGCTCCCATGTCCATCTTCCCATGGCAAGACGAGGAGAAATGTTTTGACCACGACAATCTTCCAGATATCTGGTACTCTCAGTCCGCTATCTGGATGCCCTGCAAAGAGGACCAACTTCAGAATCTTTTTAAGGCCTTGGGTTGCTCCGTGCACACTGCTCTCCGCAAAAAAATTGAGTTTGTCATTCGCGAGGAAGATGTCCCAGCACGGAGTCGGTATGCTTATCTAACTGATTTGGAGTGGGTTCAGGAAGAAAAGGAATGGCTAGCACACGCAACATTTTGTGATGAATTTTGGACAAAGTGATTGAGCTTGGTGGCAGAAGCAGTCCAAATTGAAACTAGTGGAACAAGTATCTTGGCAACCGCAGCCCTCGTGGCGAATTGGAATGTGCATGCACTATATTATGTTTCTTGATGACGTTTGTGTGTGGCGTAACTGAAGCGCTCTGGTGGTGTTTTCGGGTTACTGCAAGACTTTCCCTAACGCTATAGCATTGATGCTTCAATTCGTATTCTTACTTGAAAAAGGTGTGCTTAGCTCATAGAGTAATGGACTAGCTAGCTATGGTGGGTGTTGGGTTCGTCGTACAGGTACCGGTACTTAGTAACAACTTCGGTGAAATGAGTTATTGTCGACAATCTAGCTCCCCCGGTACAAGCTGTTTTGTACTGGTCGCACCAATTCAGCGAATCAATCGCAATAGACGGAGCCACTCAACTATTCAGTTGTAAAGAGGTTGCTTTTGACGAGTGCGCCTTTGCCACTACAACCTAAGGTACCACCGATCACGGCTTCATGTCGTTGTTGTGTCGAGTATAGCTTGGCGTCTTCTCAGCGTCCGGCCGCTGCCTTCATGTATGGAGCATCCAAGACAGTACAGAGCAGGTACCTGGTACCCGTGACTTGGATCATGTTTGGCTCTGTGATTGGGCCAATCCCCCATGCTCGGCCGTGTCATGCCAATGGCGGCGGAGAGTTCGTGAATAGTAGTGCATTCGTACTGTTGGTTGTTGAAGTCAGGGTGGATTGCACACAAACAAAGGATTGCAAACAAACAAATTGACAACTTGTTTTGCAATGTCTCTTCAAGTTCATTCGGATTGTCCCAGAGAATAGGATCCCTCGTCGACAAGACTATTTGCAAGCACGTAAGAGTCCCCATTTTTTCCCAACCCTTTGCGTTCCCCTTGTCAATTCACACTTTTTCAAACTGCGTGTCCTTGCCCACTTTGAGTCGAGTCTAATAATATTGGATCCGCTCATCATTGCCCTACCCTCAACGTAGACTGAATGCAGGTGAGCGAATTATCCGGCCCAAGAGTTGCCACTTGGCCTGAGACAGACAGTGGTGCGGCGGATTAAACTGGCTCGACTCGAGTGGGCCAAGTCGGAGTCTTCCGAATTGAATGGTTGGATCTCAGTCTCCGTCTCTTCCTGGTGTCGGTTCAGGTTCAGTTTTTTGAGGCGCATCGTCGTTGCCCCACTTGCCCCACGGTCAAGGGCAAAAAGTGAGCAGTGGTTCAGCAATCACGTGGGCACTGTCATCTTGGAAGAGCTTCATTCGCACTTCATCTTTACTTTAAATCTGCTGAGTCCAGCGATTTAAAACTTCTTTCTCCAGGAAGTTGTTCGGCAATTGAGCACGTGACCGTGTGCTTCCACCAGACTCCACGAGCCCGCCACGTTGTGTTCGTCGATCTGCAGTCATCGGAGTCATCAACACTTCCAACAGCTTCCGTCAACTCCCTTCACAATTTTTACAAGACCCACTTTAGAAAACACAGCAGCTCGTCGTTGCTGTTGTTGTCGTCTGTGTGGGTTGTTGTTAGACTCGGCTCGACTCTTAACTTGTTGTGCGTCTATAGTAGTACCTGACGATGGCAACTGTGACGGGTGAAGGTCCTGTACTGATATTGAGGAATGAGGAAGAGTCTCGAGATGATGGAAAGATGACGGAAGATGGTGATGACGAGCGAGTCATGGAACCCGCTGCGACTACTGCACCCAGTAAGGACAACCCATCGGCTTCGGATGATGATTCTAGCAGTGAGGAGGAGGAAGAAGAAGAGCAGAAAGACCAGCCTGCTTCTACTCCAGTGCCTCCACCGTTGCCACAAAAGCAACAGCAACCTCAAAGGCCATCCCAGAAGAAACCCCCTGCCATTTACAACGCGGAAAGAGACCCCGATTTGGAACAAAAGCACATGATTCTCTCCATTCTACTACACGGCGCCAAATGTCAAGCCAACCCCTGTGCCTTTTCCAATTGTACACAATCCAAGACAATGATCCGTCACGTTTCCAAATGCACGGCGGGCACCAACTGTCCCGTCTCGTTTTGTTCCAGTGCCAAATTTGTGCTCCGCTATGGACCCCAAATTCAAGACGCCATTTTGCAACGTGGCGTGCAAAACATCAATCCGATGCAACAATTGATGCAACAACAACAAAGGCAACAACGACAACCCAATCGATTCAAACTCAAAATGGGACGGATTCGACAACGACGCACTGCGCCACGAAGACAAATGTCGTGGATTCCGGGCAAATTAGCGCCCATTCCGGAATGCAAGCATGAAACAAATGACCCTGATGATTACAGCACGGAAGAAGAAGAAGACGAAATCCCCAAACAATCCGAGGACGACGACGATTCCGATGACAGCGACGACAGTGATAGTAGCAGCGACGACGACGAGGGAGGTTTTGGAACTCCAGGAATTCCAAAAGTTGCTGCCCCACAACGACAACAACCAAATCCAACAACGAAAAAAGGCAAAAAGAACAAGTGGGACATGGACTACTCGGACAGCTCGGATGATGACGATGATGACCCAAAAGCGGGAACAGTCTCTTCTCCCAAAGCAGCAGCAGCAGCCACCAGCAGCAAAAATAATGTTCCCGTCGCCACACCCATTCAATATTCCAAAACATCTCCAACGCGAAATGCACGCAGCAAATCGCCAGTTCGCAGCAAGAGTCCACAACCGAGTAATCGAAGTACTATGGCGCGCAGTAAGAGTCCACAACCGACTCGAACTACGGCACGCAGTAAGAGTCCACTGCCACCCCCCAGACATACCACGTCCATGGGAGATCCACAACCCCGACAAGCCCAGGCAACAGCACGAGCCAAAAGTCCACTGCCGCCTCGCACACGAGACAAGAGTCCACACTCGCAAGTGAAAAAGAAAAATGCAGTCCCTCCACGTCACACGACGTCCTTTGGAGATCCACATCCACCCCCCGTTGCATCGCGAAGCAAAAGTCCTGTGCGACAATCCAAAAGTCCTGTTCGACGACCAAAAAGTCCCTTGCCACCACCGAGGCACACGACATCCTTGGGAGACGCTCGTCCGGGGAATAATAGTACTGGTACCATGCGAAGTAAAAGTCCACAACCAACGGCAGCTCGAAGCAAGAGTCCACAACGTCCCACCACCATGCGAAGCAAGAGTCCACAACCAGCACCAGCGCGGCGCAAACAAACAACACAAAACAAAAGCCCCAATAGTATGGAACATCCCGATGATGAGGACTCGGAGGAGGACGACAAAGCACCTGCTCCAGCGCCTGCGCCTGCGCTTGCGACACAAACCGAGGATTCCGGCGAGGACGACTCCTCAGATGATTCAGACGATGATGACAGTGAACGAGTAGCGGCGCCTGTTCCGGCCCCCGCACCTGCTCCTACTCTTGCGCCAGCCCCTGCTCCTGCTACTTCTGGTTTGTCAAAGAAAACTGAGGAATCGGTAAAGGAAGAACCGGATTATGATTCAGACGATGACGACCATGAACGGCCAGCTGCTGTTCCCGCTCCTTCTCCTGTGCCTACAACCTCCACGACAGCTGCAACACCAGTCCCCGTTGTACAAAACGCAAACAATGACGACAACCAGAGCTCGCCAGTCAATGATGAAAAGGACTCAAACAATGACGACAACCAGAGCTCGCCAGTCGACAATGAAAAGGAGTCAACTGCGGCAGCGCTCAGTGCACCCTTGGAAAGTAACTCAGAATCTGCTGGAAATATGGCGTCTGACAGCAATGTCGGTGCAGATCAGAAGAAAGACGCAGACGATGAAGGGTCAGAAGAAAGAAACAACCAATCCTCTCAGTCGCCAAGAATATCGTCGAAGGACATTGAGTACCCATCGGACGAAGAAGAAGAGTCAAAGGAAAACGGCAGCACCAAAGAACTTCCTTCGGAGATGCAAGACGAGCCAACACCGCTTGCTGCCGGTGACGAGAAGAGCGAAATTGCGTCATCTGACACTACAGTGGTGGTTGGGAACATTAAGGAGAAGGACGATGGTGTGACAGCAGAATCAGAGAATTCGCCAGCTGTAATGTCGGCGCATGAAGGAAAGTCGAGCGACGACGATGTCTCGCAAGATGTTCTAGAAGCGCCGCAAACTACTACAGACAACGGTGAGCAAATGGACAGTGATGATGAGAGTGATTCTGAATCGAGTGGCGGTGTCGGGTATATTACAGCGGAGAGCATCGTTTCTTCCGACGACGACGTGAGCGCCTCGGAGAGTGAAGACGACAAGGACGAGGAAACGAGTCCTCCAGCAGTGGCTAACGACACAGTCACCGCAGAAGTTGCAGAAGATGGACTCGACGACAATTCACTCATAGCAAATGAGGCGAAGGAGCCAGGCGACTTGATTGTATCCGGCAAGGACGGAACAACCGTATACCACAATGTACAATGCCAGAGGATGAAAGGCAGCCTGACAGTATCTTCTGAAGAACTTCGTTTCGTCGAAGAAGACGATGATGACGACGACGAGCCCTTATCGATTCCATTGGAAAGCGTGTCAACGCACCAGCTCACCCCACCACCCCGAACTGAGCTGAAGATGACACTTGCGAACGGTCGATCATTTGCGTTCCATCTTGAACCAAGAGAGTCTCTGGAGAGGCTGCATTCTGAAGTGGAGAAACGATTGCTCGAATTTGCTGCGAACACAACCGTGGAAGCAGCGGAGGAAAAGGAAACGGATTTGGAAGAGGCTGCACCTGCCCCTGCACCATTACCAGTTTCGGAAGTCGATCCCGCACCAGCACCAGCTCCACTCCCGGTAGCCAGCGCCCCAGCTCCAGCTCCACTACCCATGTCGGTTTCTGCTTCAGACGACGATGACTACGAGACAGAATCAGTATCCGCTGCTTCGACGACTGCTTTTGCCCCGCGACCCGACATAAACAACCACGACAGCGAGGCACCAGCCCCTTTGCCTTCAAATACTGACGAGGCACCGCCGTCCTCAGACAGAGATTCCCGTGAAAACGGCGATGCTAGTTCGAGGGCTGAATACACCAATGTGCAATTCAGGGGGAAGAAAGGAACAATAGTTTTGGGAGAAGAGCATGCTAGTTTCGTTACGACCGACTCCCTCGGCGTCCAAAAATTAGTCAAGGCGTTCCCCTACGCCACCGTGGCCAAGATCAGAACGAACTCTGAGGGCAGTGCAAAGGCAATGTTAAGGGTGATACCTTCCGGTCAAGGGAAGCCCTTCAGTTTCGAGGCTGAAAATCAAGATGCCCTTGGACCGCTGTTGAAAGATTTCTCCAGGCGTGTCAAGCGCTACAATGCAAAGCACGGCGGTACTTCGAAACAGGAGGCGTCGTCGGGAGGAAAGAAGCAAAAAGATTCCAAAACTACAACCTCGAAACAACCCAAAGAAGACAAGAAGACGCTGAAGATGAAATTGCCAACAAGCGTGAAAGGGCTGACGTCCAAACTGGGACTGACAAAGTCCAAGAAGAAATCGAAGGCGGCGCAGTAACCACCTCGCTAGCTAGCTAGGGGGGAAGACGGTTCGTCTTCCCCCATACAACCTTCCTGTCTATAATTTATCAACGCACCAGTTCAACAGGACCGTCCGACGGTTTTCACTCAGGATTTAAAAAGCTTCCACGACTGACAAAAAACTTGACCAGCACAATTAAGGGATTGTTTCTTAAGGGATTGTTTAAGGGAGAGTCAAAGATTTAAGGGATTGTTGTTAAGAGATTGTTTATTTAAGGGATTGTTTTGGGGATAGTTGAAGAAATAGGGGATAGTTGTATGGTATTTCCATTTGGCGTTAAGGGATTGTTTAGGGGATAGTCCAAGATTTAAGGGATTGTTTTAAGGGATTGTTGCTTTAAGGGATTGTTTAAGGGATAGTTGATGAGTTAAGGGATTGTTTAAGGGATTGTTTTAAACGGTCAGTCAGTCGTGGCAATTTCAAGATTTTTTAAATCCTGTGTGAAAACCGTCGGACGGTCCAGCCAGGCTCTTTTAGAAATATCTTGCAGAAAGATTCCACGCTGAATCCCTCGCGATCGACAACTCCGATCCACACGTGGGCAACGGACGAATCACGCGCGACAGCAAAGAGTCCACGATATGTTCGCTACAGGCTGGTTTACTAGCTGGAATGAATCGAATCCGCGGTGTACAGGAGCACAAAACGAAGATCATCCATACACACCCTTCGCCACACAACAATCTCTACGCACCCGGTTTTCGACATCAGTACATGAATGTATTTTATGATGGCATCTAGTAAGCCAGATTCCAATGCAAACCTCCACAGCAGTTTTTGAAGTCTTTCAAACGAGTTCTCAGGACATCAGGTTTTCGTTTGAATCACACGAATTGCACTCCATCCACCGGTTGCTCCACTTTGTTGATCGTGGTCCGTACCGGTACAGCGAACCCCAGTTCCACGATTCTTGTGCATGCAACGATACTCCAAAAGCAGCCGTGTTGGGAGTACTAGCTAGATTGTTGACAGACAAGCATTCATTCATCAACATGGAGAGCAACAATGTTGGATCAGATGAGCCCATGATAATGGACAGCAGTACAAATGGCGAAGAGCGTCATGATGATAGCCAGGGAAGTGCAAGCGTCGACAATGACTCGGACACCACCGAGACTGTGTCCATCCTTGAGCGAACCAATTCGGCGCAACAAGAGCAAATCGAAGGGCTGCAACGGGAACTGAACGAGTTGCGAGTGCAGCGTGGTGAAGAAGTCTATTGGTTGCGGCTGGAGTTGGATTCATCGCGACGAGATAAGGAAGCTGTAGAGGATAGAATGTCAGAACTCTACCGTGAGATGCAAGAGATTTTGGAAGCTCCTATTGACAAGAGCGAAGGAGCTGAGGCAAACAATGGGATGGTGAAGGAAGTTTGCACTGAACCGGACTACGTCAGCGCCCTCCAGGATCGCCTCACAGCATATGAACGCTCTGTCGAGATATTGAACCACCAGATTGAGATGATCAAGACGTCTTCGGACGTTGTTGTTACCAGCATGAAACAAGAGGTCACAGACCTTATGGAAGAGAAAACGATAATGGAACGAGACATGTTGAATCAACTCTCAAGCTTGGACAACGATAAACGAAAAGTGGAAGTGGAACTAGCAGCTTCCCGTGCAGCCAAGCACTCAACAGTTAACGGCACAGCACAAATAATGCCCACGCAAAGCACTGACGTTGACACGGGTGTTGAAGCACTCGATGAAGATATTGAAAACTCCACCAAACTCGCAGAAGCTTTCAACGGTACACCAGCCAAGGGGGTGCACGAGGAGTCCTTTTGCTCCACGGCAACAACTCAGGTGTCATCGTTTGTGGTTGATGGGTCTCATCATCCAACCAGCTTCTTTTTCAAGGAGCACGATGAAGATTCTAAGGTGCAGCTCCTCCTTGAAAAGTCCCGCGAAGAAGTAGAGAGGTGGAAAGAGGAGGCCGAAACTTCCACGATGGACAACATCAAGCTCAAAGGGAAACTGGATGAAGTGACGAAGGAACTCATGTTCACCAGGTCGTCCGCAAACGTAGCTCTGGCATTGGACAGGATCGAAACCGACAGAGCAGAGACTCTGGCTCAGCTTGACCGCATCACTGTTCTGTGGGACCGGGCAGACAGTACTATTCAAGTCATGGAGGGCCTATTGTCAGAGTTTCAACCCAAGTCAGGCCAACCCGAAGACAACCCCACGCTCCAGAATGACCGAGGCAGACTGCTATCAACCTTGGAAACCGCTACGCTAGTCCACGGTCAGATCAAGATGTCATTGATGCTCATCGAGCTGTCCTTGCGCAATCACTTGACGTGTATCCAAAACGACAACCTGCACATGCCACGCAGCGAGCAAATAGTGAGTCGGTTGGAAGATGTACGCTCTGAAACGCTGTCTGCCATTGCAGCAGCGGAAGAGAAGTGGACAGGTGCGGTAGAGGCTGTAGAGAAGCAGATCCTCTCGGAGAACCAAAGCATCAACGATTCCTTGAAGGTTCAACTCGGAGAGCTTCAAAACGCACAGGAACGCCACAGGTCGCTCCAGCTGGAATTGGAAGAGCTTAAGGATCAACCGCCGCCTCTGCAAACTGAAGCATCATCAGAGGTGAATTCAACTCAAGCTGTTACTCCCACTGCTGCTGCCACCGGTACTGATTCCGTTGCTGCTGATCATCAACCACCGAATAGTCAGAATGGCCAAGTGCAGTCCAATGGATTGATTGTGAGCCCCGGTACGATGGCACGGTTGCAAAAGGAGATCTTGACGGTGGTGGCTCTTGTCCAAGAGAAGAATGAAGCCATTCGATTGTTGATGACTACCATTGACAAGCACCGGCTCCGGGAGGAAGTGCTCAAGAAAGAGCTGAAGCGAGTGGCTCAAAAGTCCAACAAGAAAATCAAGAGCAAAGATGCCAAAGTTCCCAAACCGCTCAAGTTGGATCTGATGAATGTCCCTCGTGCCAGCAAGGGCAAGGTGCATGTCGACTCGTCCAAGTCGGGGGGTGGCAAGTCTCCTCAAAAGAAGGTGCGGAAAAGTCAGAAGACCAGCACCGCAGAACTAACCGTCATCTCTGGCGTTGTTGCCGAGGAAAAGAACCCCAGGAAGACCAAGTCTTCACGTCTGGTGCCTTTCCTTGGGTCAGGATCGAACCGTGGTTGGTCGTCTCTTTAGATATGTAGTGAGCTATCATTGTACCATATGGGCTAAGTTCTATAATAACGTGAACAGCAAACTTGTTGGGTTTTGCAACGTGGCAACGCTCACCTCTTCTACATCGTTGCTGAAGGAGCGTGCCTCAATCGTGCTTTTGGGTAGGATTTAACGGATAGAGTTTGAAACTCTACCCTATAGGGGAGAGTTTTGAAACTCTACTTTAAGTCTTGGGTAGAGTTTGAAAACTCTACCCTATAGGATAGAGTTTGAAACTCTATCCTGGACCGTCCAACGGTTTTTGCTCAGGTTTAAAAACTGCTCAAATCGTGGTTCTGGTTAAGGGAATGTTAAGGGAATGTTGAAGCTTTAAGGGAATGTTAAGGGAATGTTGAGGATTTAAGGGGATGTTTTAAGGGAATGTTTATTTTTAAGGGAATGTTTTTTTTTTTAAGGGAATGTTCTATGGGGTTTACATGAAGGCTTAGAGGAATGTTTCGAAGCGTTAAGGGAATGTTGTTAAGGGAATGTTGATTTAAGGGAATGTTAAGGGAATGTTAAGGATTTAAGGGAATGTTTTAAGGGAATGTTTAAGGGAATGTTTCAACTGCAAAATTTTGAGTTTTTTAAAAACCTGAGCGAAAACCGTCGGACAGTCCTGTAGGAGAGAGCTTGAAACTCTATCCTAATTATTAGGATAGAGTTGAAACTCTCTCCTATAGGGTAGAGTTTTCAAACTTCATCCAAAACTTAAAGTACAGTTTCAAAACTCTCCCCTATAGGCTACAGTTTCAAACACGATTGCGGCACGCTCCAGTGGCCAATGATTCCGATGCCAGGTCCAGCCAGGTCTGATCGCTACGGGCGAGATTGCCAGTTAGAAGTCAACAACTACATGTTACGTACTTTTCAGTGGATTTATCTAGCTAGCTACCTAGTGGATTGGATCTTTCCTTCTGGATACGTCTCTCTCGTGTTCCATACCCAAAGCGCATAGGTCAAATTTCCTGCTATCCCGACCTGCGATACTTTCCCCTCCATGTACCGTAGCTGCAACGGAAATGGATTCAATTTTCCCCCCGCAAAAACTAAACTGTCGCCTAATACCTACATTTCACCTGGTGAATGCGTGGATTGATCTAATGGATTCAATTCCTTCCTGATTCCTTGCAGCAGACGACCATTGAATGAAACTGCAGCTATCTGGAAGAACGAATCTCGTACTGTCTCGGTGGTTAACGATGATTTGTCCCGGAGCAAGCCCAACGAATTCTGACTAAATGAATCTACGAAGCCAGACTCACCTACCGGTACGGTACCTTAGAAGCTACCTGTACTTCCAGTTATGGGATCAAAGTTGCCCTACCTTGTGCTCGTCGTCACGGTCGAAATTGAAGTATTCATTCAGGCATTCAGGAGTGGTACGGAAAGGTCTCTCCTGCATCTAGCTAGGGGCAGCGGGGCACTGACAGAACCACAAGGTCCCGTCCTTGCCTGATAGCATTTCTTTTGCTTATCCCTGAGGTTTCCTCTCGGTTATCGGGCTCTTCACTCGGTGAGAGAAGCCATGATCGCGGACCGTGGATCTTTGTGCTGATCCATTGGATTCGTGACTGAAGACCGTATCCATGTCTGGATACATTTGCGGAGTGATGCAGCAAACAGAACACGCGCAGATCTACTATAGTATACTAGTAATACTACTACCCCTGACCTCTTGCCCTTTATTTCACTATGGCGTCAACGTTGAAGACTGACGCAGCTACAAGTAGACGAGAGCTTGGTGATAAGGATGTTTCTGTTACTGGTGGTTTGCAAAATGCGAGAGATTTCTTCCAAATCTTGGCCAGCAAGAAAGTCTGTGGTAGATATCCTCAACTGATCTACTTCAACTATTTTGCCTACCACGATACTCTCTTCTCTGTACTTGAAGCATTTCCTGCTCTAGCATCGCAAACCTTCGAAAGCGGGGAGGAAGAAGAGATGGGCCTGGCGACATCGAGATATCCGCTTTTTATCATGGCGGAAGCACAAGCCCCATTAATCCAGATAAAAGAAGTCCATCAGATGTACCCCATTGCTCTGAATCACGGCAAAGCGGACGTATTTGGGCTTGTCCTGCCGGAAATCCTAAGGGTAATTCCAACACTAAGACTCGATGCTCTGGATTACCTGCTGCGTCAATGCCCTGAGCTGATGGAAGTCCAATACAGCAGCCACATGTCAGTCCTTCGTGAACTTGCTTTTCGTTTTGTAAAAAGAAGCGATGAGCCTTCACCCGATGACAATGAAATCACGTTGTTCAACAGACTCATTCGATACCTGGTCACTGCAGAAGCAGCAGACTGCGATGCCGACCTCCTCAACCTCTTTGTTTCATCCCCAGTCAAGGATGAAAACATGGATTTGCTGGTCCAAACCATTGCTCCTCAAACTACCAGCCTCACCATCTCACATCAGGTAGGAGGCCACACAGGCGCCATAGCCACCCCCTTAACCCCTCACGGGGTGAAATGGATGTCCAAGTTGTTTCCGCATGTATCCGTGCTCAGCATCAACCCGGTTGAAGGTTTCACCTGCCCCGAAGTGTACATCGCGATCCTTCGCTCAATTGGTGACCTCAAAGGCAACAACCTAAGGACTCTGCATCTTGACATACCGTGCAAGCTTTTGAATTGCTGCCGCTTGACTCAACAACTGCTATTTCATTTGGTTTCAACCTGTCGAGTTGATGAACTACGTCTGCATGCAAATGCAACGTGTTGGTATGACCTGCAGGGACCTCCAGACTCTGGCGGGGACAAGATTATGTGTGACATTGTAGCTGAAGCCCTGGAACTTCGACAAGCCCCCATTCCAACTCTTGTATTGGGTTGTCTCCGAATTGGCAATCTTTCTGGTGGTCCGATCCACTCAATCATGTCTTCCAGCCACGGAGCACAACAACTTTCACTCATTCATGGCTCCCCTTTTAGCGTGGGTTGGATCGAGTCCTTGCCTGCATCGAGCACTCCCTCCGCAACGGCTTGCTTGGAAAGGCTATATCTTGAGTTTGTAAGGAAGTCGCCTGAAATGTTCCATACCATGTTCCAGCAGATATGTTGCATCGGAGGACTGAAGCAGTTAGAGATAGCTCCCAGAATTGTCTTTTCTTCTTGCAGAGGAAGACCAGAAGACCTTTCCATTGATGTTACTGAAGATGTTGTCAATCTGTTGCTTCATGCCAAGGTTCTGACAAGGCTCAAGCTGGGAAAGTCTATTCATGTAGTCATGTCCAAGATTTGCGCAGTGCTCCACGACAACCAGCATATGCAATCGTTGGAGCTCTATGCCAGTGAAAATCCTGACCGGCCTCGCACAACCAAAAAACTTGCGCCGGTTGGTAAGAAAACTTGTGACCAAGAATCCAGAGAAAAGATTGGTCCGTTTGGGCCATTGGCCGACTTGATGGAAAACCACAACACAGCGCTGCTTGACTGTTCCTCAATCCGGTCGCTCCATAGATTGAATCCGGACCCTATTCTCACCAAGAACAAAATGAAGATAGTCTACCGCACACAACTCAACAAGTTCGGTCTTGGTAAAGCACGGAACTCGGGCACAACAAAGGAAACATTGGTATCACTTCTGGGAGGCATTGTGGGCTCAGAGACCGTCAGAACTTCCTTTGGCCGCCTCATCAGTCCGCAGGAAGTTCGGCTTGGGGATTCACGCGATGAAATGCTAGCAAACCGCAGGATGTTGGGTGGTCGGCCCAATTCACTGAATAGCCTGTTGCGACAAATGAATGGTGCTTCGTCTCGGTTGGGTGGTTCACACCCCCACATATCCGCAACGCATGTGGAGCTCCCATCCGTTGCGTATTCGTATGCCTTTTTGCGGGAGACACCATCGCTGTGGGCTCCAGGCTGAGGAGAGATTGATGCCGAGACACCGCCTGATACCCACTCGACAGACTGGAATGCTTCTACGTCTAACTAAGGACAGTGGCGTCAGATGCACAAAAGGCACAAAGGAGAGTTCGGAAGAGAATGAACGAATGCAAACATGATTGCGTCCCCAAAAATCGTAGGTTGCGGAATCCTTTTTGTTGAGGCCCGGTCGTGGTCAGCTACAGTACATATAACAGGGGTGGGTTTGCTAAATCGTAGGAGACGCTGGATTCATCATTCGTCAACTGTGTGGATAGTACAAGTGTAAGCTTACAAAGCACCAGCTAAACCACGCCTGTGCTATGCATAAGGCTTGCAAAGCATAGTTTATGTTTCAAGTGTTGACCCTTGCTTATATTTTTAAAAGCGGTGTTGCAACGTGACCCACGCCACCTTCAAATGTCCAAATTGACTGACTGGCCGGTGGTTCCTTCCTACCAAATGCTCTCTCTCTGCTGCAACCATCTCATGCTCTCACAATGTACCAGGTAGAGTGTGCCGCTGACTACGGTGCCGCGTGTGGTGACTGGTCATCTCTATCGGTGTAATAATCAGTACAGCAGGAGGACGAGACTCAACTGCAGCTGGTTCTGTCGAACTCAATGCCAAGCGGCTCTGGTCGGCCAGGAAAGCCCAAGTTCGAACAGTGAGCTCTCAATAAAATCGGTGGCACCTCAAGGACAAGGGCTCCAAGGAAGAACTATCTGGCCATATGTTCCATCATTCATTCTTGGTTGTTTTGACAACTCTTGCTCCCATTTTCTGATTTACAAGGGCAACGGGGAAGTCACATATTTCCGGAACACTATCAACCATAAGGATGAATGCAACAAGACGAGAAAATAAGCATTTGAAAACGAAAGAGAGCCTCCTTCACTAGAATGACTCGATAACACCACTTACTGCTCCTTGGGCAACGGTGGCCCACTCTGCTTGCTCAGTGACGTGTTAGCTGGTTCTCGGGTCCATTCGTCGTACAGATTAGAGGTGGAATCTAATCGAGGATTGGTGAGTCGATTGCAGAGCGCATATAGCAGTGGCACGGCGACAAAGAGGCAATATGCCGTCGTCGAGGCATCCAAAACTGTCTCCTTGGAAGGCACCAGAACCGGCGGCAAACCTCTGTGGATTCCATTTATTTTTCAAGCAACATTAGAGAGACAGAGAGAAAAAAGACAAGATGAGAGGAGACTACCCAGTCCTCTCTGAAAGACACTGGAACACGCCATAATTCATAAGTGATACTCACACTATTCCCAACGAGTTGTCGGGTGGAATGACTTGGCTCAAGATGTAGAAGAATCCAATGGGGAAGATTAAAAAGCTGAGCACAAAGCCACATTGCTGCGCCATCAGGAGGAAGAGAAAGAGTGAAACAAGATAAGGAAGCAATCATCTTTTCCTCCTTCCGTGTGCGGGGTGGTTTCTCCTTTCTCTTACTGTACCTCGAGACCGGTGTTGCCCATGGTTGATGGTGTGAGATGGTACAGTACAGTGTAGACTACAGTCGTTGGATTGTCGTTGTTTCTTTCGAAAAGGGGGGGCCCAACTTTCCCACAAAAATTGGGGGGAAGATCTTTTTGGAGTTGGCACGAAGTTCCAGGAAGCCTCCAAAAAGGCCAACATCGCAACAACACTTCTCACTACGATGTACTAAAACAGCAACACTTCCAATCAATCTTGCCTCTTTCTTCGTAGGGTATTGAATTCGAATGAAGACAGCCCCTCTATTACACACCTTGGTTCTATGTCTGCTTTGGGGTTACTGTGGAGCCTTGACCTTGCCTTTGTTCACCACCATTAAAGCGCCAAGCTCAAGTCAAGACATGCCACGCACTGCGGCCATGACGAGACACCAGAAAAAGGTGATGAAAAGCATGGTCCAGTTAGTGAAGAAGGAACTCAAGAAAGTTGCCGATCCAAACAAGGCCAAGGTCATGCAGGGATATTGCAAGACCACCATGCCCATGTACGGCATTCAAAAACCCGACAGGGCCACTGTGGAAAAGCAAATGCATGCCCATATCAAACTGCAAACACCACCCGTGGTGGATCGAGCATTTTACCAATCCTGCATTGAAACACTGTGGGCACTTCCACATCGCGAAGAAAAGTACTTGGCCATTGATTTTGCCCTTCATTACAAAGACCAAATCAGCTGGGACAATTTGCCCGTTTACACAAGCCTCATCCTTCATGATGAATTCATGTGGTGGGATTTTGTCGATCCCATTGCCGTCAACCTTATTGGCAAGGTGGCTCTTTTGGAACAAGCCAAAATAGAACCACTGCTGAGGCAATGGATTGATGACGAACAACACATGTGGTTGCGACGAACCGCCCTGTTGGCACAACTCAAACACAAGAAGCAAACCAAGGAGGATCTCCTGTTTGAGTTTTGTCGGAAACGAATGCACGAAAAAGAGTTTTTCATTCGCAAAGCCATTGGATGGGTCTTGCGAGAATATGGCAAGACGAGCCCCGAAAGTGTCGTGCAATTCTTGCAGCAAGAAAAGGCCAACCTGAGTGGATTGAGCTATAGAGAGGGATCTCGGATTCTCATCAAGAATGGATACATGACGTAGCTACCCGTGGCTAGAGAAGGACCTGCAAACTTGAGATGTGTGATAAAGAAATGGTGCAACAGGGAATGGTTCAATCAGCTTTCTGCCTTCTGCACCGTTGATCCTATCGATTGATCGGGACGCTGCGGATTCGAAAAACAGAGGCCAACATCGACTCGTGTCTGTTCGATTCTTCTAGCTAAAGGGACGACAAACTGTGTCTACAGGTTTTCGAGCTCTCCGTGTCTAGTAGCTAGATGAATCTACCGGTATCGTTAAGCTTGGACTCTCCTAGAATCATGCTCGGAGATGGCATTTTTTCTGATGAACACTAGTAAAGAGACATGTCGATGGTCAAGTTTGCCTGCACCGGCGGGTACCTGTGGCCAGAATCTCCTCTGTCATTACGTTTATTCAGCAATCCTTTTCCTGGGATGGAAAGTGTTGAAACCGCATTCTGGCTGGATCGCTGGCTACTAGTATCTTGAAGGAAGAAGGGAAGAGGAGTTTCATCAGAGGCTGTGCCAGTTTCAACTCAGAAAAGGAAGAGAATAAC